AATATCTTCGAGGGAGAAAAGCGTCTTCGCCGACCTCGGAACGGACTCAAACTTGAGACACATCATTTCCTTTTCGTTGAAGCCATAAGAAGATTTCGCTAATGAACAAACGCGTCCGAGTTAGCAAGGAAGACAGGCAGGATCACTAATGTTTGGCTTACCATCTGATTTATCCATAACCTAGGAAATGGCAAATTTTGTCAGTGACGCGTGCCAGCTTAATTATAACAAGACTTACTCTTGCACCAATCGGAAACTTGAACCTTGAGTCGAGTGTCCAGGCGGCGAGCGTGGCCTCCCACTCTTTTTTTCCTGCAAGCACCAACTTGTGAAGGGCATGTTCTGCATCTTTGTCAATTTTCTCGCAGGGAAAGAGAGTCTCAACACTGGAGGGACCAGCGCCAGCGTGAGCAGAGGGTGTAGCTTTGGAGTAGCCGACGCAGCGGTAATCTTTCTTTTGAGAGCGTTGGGCAGGCATGATTTCTCCAGTAGAGGGCACGACGGTTGCTTTACCGATGGTAGCTTGGGTTGAAAAAAAAAGGAGGGGGTTGGGGAGGAGGTTCGTTTTTATATGAAGGCGGAAGAAGCTTCGTGGGACATTGGCTCATCCATAACCTATCCATGGGCGTTCCATTGACCATGACATTATACATCAACCTGCGCACACGCCAGTCTCGATGTATAATGCATCGGTAGTGCACTTTCCATTGGATGCTGTGGCAACGAAAAAGGGTGAATGAAGGGGCCTATCCTCCCATATCAAGGCTTGAGATTCAGGAAATACCAAGCTATGAGACAAAGTCTATGAGATACACTGAGGCATCCAATGTAATGTCAGTTTATTGTGTTCGGAACGTCTGCAAATCGGGATACAAAAATCAGTATTTAGTTGTTTCTGGATTGCTTTAACGTCATGCAACGGCCAATGCCTCGATTGGGTGTTCGGCGATCTCTAAGCATCGAACACTTGTAGTTGTTCTAAGAGTTTCGATGCCTTTTCGTCCCTTGGTTTAATATTGCATTTGAACTCTGTCGGGATCCTAAAAGAGCCACTTGTCAATGGGTTTTCATCGAGAAGACAAAATCAGCTCACCTGAAGAATGGGTTGTTGAATTCGACATTAATTTCTTGATCGATTCCAAGTTCATCCTTGGCTTTGGAAAAGTCGAATACTGCTAGCATATTTACCTAATTAAAGAATAGATTTGTCAGTGATGAAGTTTTGAAAATGATAAGACAAAATCTCGTATTCACCATTAATAGCCAAATGGTCGAATCGACAAGGTACATCCCTGGGCATATTCTCCTGCCAAATCCAAATGCAATCTTCGGGTCGCGTTTCCTATCCTCTTCCGGCGTACACGGCTCAAGGAAGCGCTCTGGCCTGAATGATTCAGGAGAAGGGTAGACTTCCGGATCTCGTAACATCGCCCTAGGGGTTGTGTAACTCTTGAGGTCGTGAACCAAGTCCGATTGTGAAGATATTTACCAGATGTTACCAAAGACGAGAGTTCCTTCAGGGATGTGCATCCCCTTGTATATGTCGTCTTTCATGACCCGATGCGCCATTGCTATCCAGAAAGGTGTAGTCAGTAATAGAGTACCAGGGAGAATTGCGCGATCTTACTAATTGGATTTGGTATCCCCCACCGAAGACATTCCTTGTAGAGTGCTTCAACTGGATGATGGTGATGTCACGACGTCAGTAAAGCAGATCTTGCATCGTGGTAGAGCTCCTCACCATAGACCAGCTTCTCACGATCCTGGAAGTCAGGCAACCTGTCATTTCCCACCACAGTATCGATTTCTGCTCGAGCGGCCTTCTGAGCAGCAGGATTGGCGATTAGTGCCAGGATGATGAGGGTGATAGCTGCTAGATTCTGCGAGAACAAATAGTATTAGCGCAAGTGCAATTCGATAAGAATGACGAGTGCTCACAGAGTCAACTGTGGAGCTATACATCGAGTTTGCCGCCCATTTAAGATCGAACTCGAATTCTTCTTTTCCAGTTTCAGCCGAGTTTTCAGCGACAATGGGGTCTTCAAGAAGCGTAGAGCAAAAGGATTGCCTGTAGGTACCAGTCTCCTGGGAAACAAAAGAGCATCGCGTCAATTTGAAATTCAGTTTCGCAAGAACGGAGGAATTGATAAGCGCTGACACAAATACATACCATATTATCTTTGAGAAGCTGGAAAGGCTCATCAGCAAAAGCATCTATCCTCCGCTTCCATTTCTCCGCCTTCCTCTTGAAACCAGCTCCAGGTAGCCACTTGGGCAGGTAACGTAGAATAGGAAAGACATCGACAAGCCAGATCCCCCCACCACTTGTTATTTCGCAGCTCAAATACTCAAGGCACTCGTCCAAGAGAAGAAGGAAATGATCTGAAGCAAATTTGGCCTCGTGCCCATAGACGACAGAGAGCCCAATGGTCCCGGAGTAAAACTTGATATGTGAAAAGAACGACTCTGGGGATGCGCGTAGGTTTCTGAGGAACGACCGCGTCGCAGAGGTGATCAAAGGCTCGTAGACTTGGATGGCGGATGGTGATAATGCCTTGTGTAGCAAAGTACGAAGACGCCGGAATCGGGCATTGTAGGTCGTGAAAACCACCTTCACAAACAGTATCAGTAATCGATCCATGCGTTCGTCTGGGACAGTCACCATATGTTCACACCCACACCTTTGAGAAAAGAACATCATCAGTACCACACAGCTTTCTGGCACTTCGGGCTTACATCTCGCCAGCCATAAGCAGCTGAGGCCTACCAGCATACACTACGCCACGTTGATCCAAGAGGTCATTGGCCGCTTCTGCGGTGTTTATAAAAACAACGTTGACGTTGAAAAAGTGGAGAGACACAACGGAACCTGAAAAGAGAGATTAGGTCGCTTAACATTAGAGTCAGAATGTATGTTTAAGACAAACCAAACTCTTTCGCCCATTTCGTGGCAAGAAGCCAGAATTCTTTTGTCGTCGAGGTCAAATCCAGTAGGTTCCCAATAATCGGTAAGGGTTTAGGGCCTGGCGGTTTGGATAATCTCAAAGGAGGCTTCGATTGTCAGACATATAATACAACGAAGAGGCATACGCCGGCGAGAAGGAGATCCACAGAGGCCATTGCTAGTAAGGTGGTTGAGGGAGTGATATGAGTAACACAGTGGGTTTGGAAGGTATATAACCCATATTATAAGATAGCATCTGATCCTTTGTAATTGGGTTCCCAGTGCCGTTGGTTCTGAAGGTTTCGAAGACCACCTCGTTGTGGCTAAGATGAAGGCTTTGAGAAAGACGGGAACTCGTGGGACGAAATTGATCACTGGCGGCACCTTGCTTTAAACTTCCATGGCCATCACACGAGTCAAAAACTTCTCTTCATTCCTAGACTAGATAAGAGCTAGGACTCTATGGGAAATTTGGCTACAAACTAGATGGATATTTCTCTCCAACTCAAACATTGTGTTATCTTTCTATAGCTTATTCCCAAGCTCGTCTCGTTGTTGATGCCTTCTCTCACCCACTACAGCTCATAAACTTATCGCTGAGAAGGCTCCCACTGATTTCAGGCTTCTTCCCTATATTCGCTTGATAGGCCCTGGATGGTGGATGCGAATCTCAGATGCCAACACGTTCTCTCCATAAACTCGCTGATCAAACCGCTTCCTCTTCAATTAGTATTTGACCTCATATTTAGGAGCATCTTCTTCAACGACGTTGGTACGGAATTTGGCGTCAGATGTCGATGTTTGCATGAATATTGGACATAGTCTTGAAGTAAGTCTATCAAAGCGAATTATAGAGAGAGTATTGTAAGATTGTAGATTCAAGCAGCACCATCGTCCTTCCGACTTCCAGTATTAGGCTCTCAATACCGTGACGGGGCTCGCACAACATAACCCTTTACTTGATGGAAATCTGCTTTGCGTCTTCTACTGCCGTCTTCCTTCTTCTCGAAGACTCGAAGACCGTAGGAAGAGCTGCATTGGGGATTTTTACCGAGATGGTTTTCGAGTAAGCCGGCATTGAATTTCTTTGTGGACAAGGCTTTTACATCCTCTTGAGAGAAAAAGTTCTGGGTGAACATGGGATAGACTCGTGACGAAGGGTTAACATTTCTTTTTCTGTGAGCCCGTAGGCGGATTTAGCTGGAAGAAGTTATTAGGTTGATCAACGAGTAGAATAAACACAACAGAAAGCAAATAGCGCCTATCATCGGACTTGTACATGGCCTGAAAGGGGGGAGAGGCGTCAATGACGCGTATGGGTAGTCAAGAACGCAATTGATATACCATACCTTCGTGCCAATGGAAAGCCTGAAGCTAAAGTCAACGACCCAAGGCGCGAGTTTATCTTCCCATGTTTTCTTTTTCTCCCGCGCCAAATTGTGTGCTGCTTTCTCTGCTTTCTTCCGTTCTTTTTCTTCTGCTGTGAGCACCTTTCTGGGAGCTCGAGGTTTCGCCGCTTTAGCCGCGGCGTTCGCAGCTGCCTCCTCTTCGAGGTATCCTATGCAGCGGTATTTCGACCGACTGAAGCGTTGGGCAGGCATGCTTTGATACGGAGAAGAGAAAGAGAAGATAGATATCAAGTGTCAACGCGTCAACAGTCCCGGTCAATAATAAACAAACAATACAACCTCGTTGACCATGTTCCATTTTTCAGCCCTGAGCCGAGCAAGGTCCAAACGTCCGAGCTAAGTCTGACTTTCATCAGTTGTTAGTTGTTCATTTGAGCTGCGAAATGCAAGAAGATCTCACGCATCTGCGTATCAATGGAAAAATTGGGATCTTTCCAAAGGTTCGATATGAAGAAGCACCTAGAGCTGATCGGCTGGGATAAATAGACGCCCGTCCACTTTAGCAACGAAGCTCACTCTCTCAAGTTGATGCCTTTTTGTTAGTTGATGTTACCCAATTTTAATTTTTCTTGGGGGGCACACGAAGATTAAAAACCAGAAGTATTCTTGTCAATATTCAAACAGGTAAAAAGAATGAAAAACAACTCTGACAACGGTGAGGTTCGAACTCACGCGGTTTCCCACTGGATTTCGAATATGAAATTCCTAATTCCAGCGCCTTAACCACTCGGCCACGTTGCCTGTGCTAAGGAAAGCAGCCTGGCATTTATATTCTGACTGCGTGCTGTTGATTTGGTTGATGATGACTGGGCTTGAGTCAAGGCATATTTTCAGCCCATGAGTTTTCATTTTGTTCATTATAAACAGCTTCCTTTATCCCACCTCCGTGCATTGAGATGGGTGTCCATGGACTGACAACGTATCTCCGGGAAAAAAAGCGGCTCCTGGCCGAAACTACGACCGTTTCCCCAACGTCCACCGACACCATTCCAGTCGTAGTTGACGGATGGTCGTAAGTTTGTTTTCTGTCTCCTAAAAGCTTTTCCTAAGCTTCTTTGTGAAGTTTTATCTATGACCTCTATATCACATCAAATCTCCCGTGGGTTTACGGAGGAGAGTATGATCAGTTCGCCAAGTTGATTACAGATACTGTGAAGTCGTGGCTCAAGATCGGCTTGCAAGTTTACTTCGTATTCGATGGTACGACCTCTTGACCAGTTTCCTCAACGAAATTATCTTATCTAAATTTTCGGGGTAGGACCCTGCCCTGATCTCAAATTTCCTACGATTGTGTCTCGCTTGAGCCAGTCCCACATTCAGCCAGCGCAGCTCTTCTTCCGAACTTCGACCACTTCCCGTTCAAACAATCGCTTTTTGAACGAGAACAGGATACTACCCCCGTTGGCTTATGCGACATGTATTCAAGCCCTCGAATCCCTTCGATCTCAAACCAAAGCAGTTGACCTTCATTTCGCCGATGAGGAAGGCGATCCATACGCCGTCGAGCTTGCTGGCAGAGTGGGCGGCTACGTAATCGGAAATGACTCTGACTTTGTCATCTTCAACTCTGAGGGGTATAAAGGATACATTCCTATTGACGAGATGGTATGGCAGGCTCCTCTGCCTGTTGATCAATCCCAGGTTGACAATGATGACGGCGAGTTTCAGACTGTCCGTAAACCCAAAGCCAAGCGAAAGGTCGTTCAAAACCTCAAGACATCCCAAGGGCTCATACCTCCCGAAGAAGTAGAGGAACTTACACTTACGTTCATATCATACAGTCCGCAGGCGCTGGCAGAGCATCTCGACCTGCCTATCAGTCTCCTGCCTCTCCTCGGCGCCCTTGTCGGCAATGACTTCTCCAAGGACAACGAAACCAGCACCCGCAGGATTCAATCCTTATTCTTTGAACGACACCTGACACTTCCTCAGCGAATCGAAAAGGTCGCAACCACCATGCATTCAATGATATCACCACAGAAACGGAAACAAAAAATCATGATTGGCGGTGTCATGGATCTCATTGAAAAGACTGTTAATGCCTTATTATCCCGATTACCTCCTTCCCTCGCATTGGGCTCTGGCGAGATAGAATCAATCATTGATAAGATTGTCAATGCTACACTTCAATATGCCATCCCGAAGTACTCTGGTGACGTAGAAGGCCGCGAGGGCCTTTGGGCGAATGGTGTTTGCGCTCTACATGATTCCGAGGCCTGCAACTTTCTTCCAACGATCTCGCGTAACGTGATGCGTCAAGCAGAAGCATCTGACGAAGCAGATCCTCAACTGCTCGAGGTCAGAGAGAAGTACTTGGACGCTTACCGGAGCGGCCGGTTATCACCAAAAATCATGGATATCCTCAATACCGAAACTTCTTGGCCTCGCATTTTCCTGGAGAATCCCGATTTAGAGACTGTTGGACGGAGCATTGGCCGACCAATCCGAGATTGGATCTACTCGATATTGGATAACACGGTTGGCCTTGCAAGCGGAAACGAGTCGACAAAGGAAGGAGATGAGGACGAGGATGAGGAGAGCGACGAGGACGAACTGATCGATGTTGTAGAGTCCGACTCGGACAGAGATGATGGGAACGTTGATTACCTTGCGCCACTCAAAGGCGAGCTTCATCGTTTACATGGATCCGACGATGAAGAGACCGATCCATCGGTGTCCGTCATTACCTCACACCGACGATCTCCCAAAGGTCCCCCATCAGTTGTAGAGTATCTTCGTCGGGGTACCCGTATAGCATCCGATGAGGTCAACGTACAACCCCTTGCCGACCGACTCTCTTCAATATCCCTAGCCCAGTTTGGAGACGACGGAGCACAACCCTTGGTTCTGCGATCAGAAGATGACCGACTTACAGTCCTCTTGAGGGCGCTCAAGTCCGACACGCCTGGAGTCCGTGCTCTTTCCCCAACTCTTATCCTTCCTGTTCTCGCTGTTCGCTGGGTGATTTTGTCATTGCATTTGCGTTTCCAAGATTTCGGGGGCAAGGATCGTGAGAAAGAAAGATGGACAAAGAGGGAAGCTCGATTCTTCCTATCGGCCTTCAGTTGGGAGAAGAACGGCGATGAGGCCAACAGCATCAAGTTGGCCACACCGCCTGTGGAGGACAGGAACGTTCAACTCATGGCTCAGGTTCTGATGGCTCTTGATACCATCGAGCAGCTCTCGCAAGCATTGCTCTTGACTCAACGAATCCAAAACAAATGTCATCTGATATCGGGTAAGGCATTTCACGCCTATGCCACGAGAACACTTCCTCTTGAGGAAGACTCTCATTCCGGCGCATGGGACGCAATTGAGTCTGACTTGGGCGACTCTTTCCAAGAAGAGAAATTGAAAAGGGCCAAAAAGGCTGCGAAGATTGCTGCGCCTGTTACAACAACTAAATCGAAAGCGGCCAACAAGGGTCCTTCAAGGTTTGCATTGCTGGGCGATGTAGATGCGTAGATGGCTTTCTATTCCTGATGTTAGTTGATTATTACTCTTAGGGTTACCTTCTTATACCCTCTCTTATCGTCGCTGTGTTTTCATTGCATTACCTTTTAAATAGTATACCTTTCCCATTACACTGCGTAGTTTTGTGTCTAAACGGATAGCCACCAGCAAAGAAGCTTGTAACAGGCTGAAAAATAACCCGAAGAGGAAGGTATAAACGGCAGAGCCTCAGGTGCTCAGAGCAGCTCAATCTGAGTCAACGTTTTAGCCACTGCCTTGTGTCGGGGGCCAATGCATGCTATTGTTTTGTGAAACAAAGAGCCTTTGGATGCCTTATAAAGTCCAATAGTCATCATGACACTCAATCATTTCACCCAACTTTCAAATTTGACCCTTCAACGCCAGTCAGGATGGGCAGAATCCTCCCGGCGGCGAGTGGTGAAAAGGTAATAGTAGCAGCTGATGGTTATACAAAGCGCAACCCAAGAATGCCTTCACAAGTGGGGAAAAATCCTTATGATCGCAGACGCTGTATCAAGAGTACTTATGCCCAGAAATCTGGGTTCCTGGAGTTAGAGAAAATTCTGAAGTATTGGTTCGGTTGAGGATAAAGGTGGATCCTCAAACTAAGTTTGGATTGTGAACTGCATTAGCGCGATATGCTTCAGCAGGCAGATGCGGTATGTTTTTGCCAGATGCTATCGATCTCTCTTGTTTAAGTTTGCTAAGTGCTGGATTTTCAGAGCAAACGAGAAGAGCGCCAAGCCTCTCCATTTCCGTCATCCTCAAACTCGAGGACTGAGGCATATTTCCGGAAGAAGTAATTGCACCTTCTTCTCGGATTGCTAATCGTCGCTTCCTCCTCCACATCGAGACCAAAAGTTCGAGCTTCAAACGCACAAATGTCTTCCAACTGATAGCATGTGTGGCATGGATACGACGAGTAGTGTAATTTATACCCGACGATGACTCCAAAATGAATGCCAATGATACGGATAAATAAAGGGAACAGGAGTTCATACATACTCGGTCAATCTGTGTCGAGTGCAGTTACAATAAATGTACTCGCCGAAGTACCTCCAATCATCATCGATAAATAGACTCTCCATGAGCCTGGATGACCGGGAACCAGTTACCATGCTAAGTCGACAACTTACGTTTGCGTTTTTCTTCGTCTGTGTCACTACCCATGCCCATGTACAACAATCAAACCTGGGGCCACATATATGGTCCCATCTTCATTTACATGGCTGAGTGTCCAGAATACGATTGCGGAAAGGTTGACACTAAAGCGCTGATCTGGTTCAAAGTGTATGAGGCAGGCTTGATTAACGGGACTTGGAGGACAGGGTATTGGGCGATGAAAGGGTTGACTATAGGCGGAACGCTGGATTACACGATTCCGAAGGACATGAAGCTGGGAAGGTACCTCGTAAGACATGAGCTTATTGCGATACACACCCAGTGGAGACAAATTTATCCCGAGTGCGCAGATCGAGGTCATTGGAGATGGTGACAGTATTCCAGGGCCAGATTACACGAGAGTCGCGTTTCCTGTAGGCTACGCAGACTCTGGTGTGTAGAGTACACTGCGTGGAGCTGTTTTTACACTCATGGTCGGTCCTAGATCCTGGCCTCAATTTGACAACCTCGGATTTCTGGTACGGCCACGAAAATGAAACGGTAAGATGTATATCTGCATATTATCAGCAAAGTTAATAACTCACTACATAACAGTATTATCCCATGCCCGGTCCTCCGGTCTGGAAGCCTTGATATCCATCGCAGGAGAAAGTCTCAGAACTCTAAGCAGTCATAAATCGTCGTGAACGTTGAATACAAAAATCTCACACATTGAGGGATATGATAGCGAGGCGTGTAGGTTTGGCTAGTCGCTCTTCACGTTATTGGGTGTTTCAATGATAATGCCGCTATACTGTGACGAACGTACATTTTGGCCCAATTTCAACTTGTTTCATGGCGCTTTGAGCGTTGTTGAACCAAATTTTGGTCGCTGCTCCTGAAAGTCGCTGTCATGACAATCAAATCACGAGCTGTCATGACAATGGTAACAAAGACCTTGAATTTTGAAGCTTGCGTTTTTGGGATATTAAATCCTATCTAAGTTATTATGGCGCGCTGGGGTATACGAGTAGGTTTTCTACATGGTTGTTGGTGTTCAAGTTTGTCCGGGCATCGGCTCGGAATACTTCATTGCCGACAGATGGGAAGCAATCGTAGCTCCCTCTGAGTCTCTGCTTCGTACCATCTCCTTCCTTACCCACTAC